AGAGAGAAAGAGAGAGAGAGAGAGAAAGAGAGAGAGAGAGAGAGAGAGAGAGAGAGAGAGAGAGAGAGAGAGAGAGAGAGAGAGGCAGAAATCCCCACGGGCCAGAAGCGTCAGACTAATCGACCGAATTAGTTCGTGTAGCAAAACGCTCACCACCCCAATTCGGGGGGATAGCCACTCTGTAAAGTTTTTCACGTCTCGAACCTCACATCGTTATTTCATGATTTCTATGATAGGCATTATACAACTCTGACCGTATTCAGTCCTGTAAACATTCGATTATATACATTGTACAGAGGTATAATATAGACGATTTTTCACAGTCAACGAAATCTCCCACATTTCGGAGCTAACATGAGTACTATTAGAATGTTACATTTCATTTGATTTCATGTCGTATTTCATGAGTTCCTACATTTTTACATCTGTTCCCACTTTAACTGTACATGTCACAGCAGTAATGGATTAAAAAGATCAGAAGACAGACTGCCAGGTTATCACTTAGTTATACAGCACAATGGTGACAAAAATCATGGTACACGACACAATCATTGTCAGAGAGGGAAAGAAAGCACAGTCACATTATTCACTGTTTCTAAGAAATGTTGTGCAGTGATAAAGTTTGCTATTAGCAACTTCATTTCACGATAATTTAATTATGTAGAATTATCTTCGAAGAAAAGCAACTACAGGGGTGAATGCTGAATGCAGACATACGTTTCACCGTGCCCGTTGTGTACGGATGTTTTCTAAAAGCCACAAAATCTTTGCCGTCCCAAGAACTACACTGCCCATTGGTCAATTTTTAACGTTGTCTCTTGAAACCTGCTGGTTACTATAACTAAACTGTCCTGATCTTGTGATATACGTTGAGATACTGAGGGACAAAAAAACAATGGAAAACGCGGAGACCAAAGCAATATTATATCGAACGACATCTTCGGAAGAATCAGTCAACTTTCTCAGTCGCTATCATTGTCTCAGACAGGTGTAAAGTTTTGTTGCAAATACTTTTCTTCTGATTTGATCAAAATTTTCCTTGGAAATGAACGCATTTTCATCTGGTCACAATTGTAAGTCTGTCCCTCAGTGCAATAAGATTCTCACAACTTTTTAACTTCCGTGAAGTCAAAGAACATTTTGTCGGTGAGAGGTTTACGTGCCCAACACTTCCAAAATTACCAGAAAACTCTCAGTCTTACAATCTTTTTCTAAGTGGAGCTGAGATCTTAAGCTTTTCATTTATTTTCTAGTCTCTGAATGTCAAACACATCAATATACATAATACATTTATGGACTTTGCTTTTTATAAGCATCTCACTGTTTCCTATGCTTGTTTGAACCATGAAGATATCATGCACTTCGAAACGCATGGTTGCAAGAACTATAAGCAAAATGTGGGGTTCAAACATTTTCATAAATGCCTACATTTCACCAATTCATCAAACTGTTATTCATTTATATAATTATAGTCTGCTTAGTTCGAATGCTCCATCAACATGGAACAACGTAAGCTGATTCGCAAAAGTATATATTTCTACCATTTTTTCCTGTCATTTTAGAAGACAAGTTTTCTGCATATTTGAGGGGCAGTCTTGCCACTGTAAGAATCTTTACAGCAAACAGGCTCGCTGCACGGCAATGGCTTCAGCAGGTTCCGAATCGAACCAGAAGAAGGGATCGGTCGTGTCTTGGATGCTGGAGGAGAAACAGCACGGTCTCCGACCAGGGCACTCTGGCTCAAGAGTTCCCCACCAACTTTCAAACAGTCAGAGAACACGTCGGCTTTTTCTATCTCCTCCCTTTCCATCTCTTCCGGAGATACTGTCTCCGGCTCTTCAATAATTTTCATTTTCGTAAGGGTCGTTATCTTCGGTTTGATTTTCTTTTCCAGATTTTGTTTTGCCATTGTCAGAACTGCCCCATAGTTCATTGGCGTACAGGCGCCATTGCGGGAATGTCGGACGATATGTTTTTTCGGCATACTTAGTGCTGGTGTCGTTTCCCAGTCTGACAATGGTGACATGCTATTCTCCCTTATATTTGTGTCGCTACTGCATGACTTTTCAGAAGAAGACTTGAAAATCTGACTGCTGCAAATACTTCTTTTATGAGGCGACGTCCTTTTCCTGCTAGGTTTCTTCTCAGTGTTTGAATAATCTTTCTTCACAGCTCTTTCCCACGCTTCCTTGGCCTTCCGAGCTATCTTCTCCCTCTTTAGCTGAGCCTTTCTCTCGGACTTCATGTCGTACAAGAGAGCGTGAATAAGAGTATATTCAGTCTCATCTTCCTCAGAGGAGACAATGTCGTGCACAGATACGGGAGACTTAGCTTTCTCGCCATGTTTGTCGGCGACATCTCTTTGTTTCCCCGAGTGCCTCCCCTCTCTCAGACCTCCCTCACGCTTTTTGCTGTTCTCTTTGTGAATAGCATTCGGTGTCCGCTTTTTAGCAGTCTGTTGATGGGCGTGGGTATTCCTTTGTGTTGGAGAGGTCGAGCCGGTATGAGTCCTCACCAGCGGCCTGGCATGATGTATTGTGGGCACCACATGGCGGTCGTGGTTCGCTTTAGACTGCTGGGACTCGATATTGGATCTTCTGACTATCTTTCTGACCACATATGTTTCCGTTCCTGATGAAGAGGACTGATACATTGATGAGGAAGATGACTCGTGAGACTTGTAAGAATGAGGGGATGTACGGGACACGTGTTTGTCCGGTCTCCAAGAACTTAGGCAACCGGAGTGTCTCGAGGGTGAATTAAGATGGGTCCCTGACGATCCAGACCAAGTCGACGACTTATCTGATGAACTGGACGAGGACGAAGAAGTGTGATAGTTTAATGATCTAGTTGGGGATGATACAGAATGGTTTGATGATCTAAACCAGGAGGACGACGTATGATGGTTTGATGATCTAGACGAGGACGATGAGGTATGATGATTTGATGACTCAGACCAAGATGAGGACGTATGTTTTGATGAACCAGACGAAGGAGATGACATCTGGTTTGTTGAACCGGAAGAAGACGACGAGTTACGATGCTCTGGTGATAATGTTGATCTGGATATAGGACACATCAAAGCAGATTCGGGTTTCTTCTTGGGAATTAGGTAATGCTTTAATTTTCCCTCCGATCTGAGTTCGGGTCGTTCTTCCATTCTGTCTGCTGGCAGATCCAGACTATTGTTGTTAGCTTTCTGAAATAATATGATTCAGCTCAGTTATCAAAATGTCAATAATTCTTTACATGTAATAATAATAAAAAATAATAATAAAGATAATAATA